AGCTACACGGAATCATTTTACAACCCTCTTTGTTGACAAGTTTATGGCTTGACGCGGTTTGTAATAATTATTAAATCCAAAATATTTTAGTGCAAACGGCTTCCTTTTAGTCATAATGACTCTATTCCAACTACAGTATTAATTTTCTTGGTCCAACTTAATAATAATAAATTTGATGCAAAAAATTTTTTTCTTATTCTTAGTCTATGGAGAGATATTGTTGTAAATTATTGATGGTTATAGCTTTTTGTACATTTCTTTTTGAACTCTGGTTAGTTTTTTCTAGTTTGAATGACATTATGTTGACGAATAAGCGTCTTTTCAGAAAAGATTGATTCAAATTCGACTATACCAATCAGAATCTAGAATGTAAACAAATGATAAAAAATCATTATTTTTATGGTTTTTCAGCGCTATTTTCACTTATTTTTGTTATTTGACGCTATTTAGACGAATAAGCAAGTTTTCCGAAGCATAAAATTGAAGATTTCCCGCCAAAATAGAAACTTCCTGATAACATTGGAAATGACATTCTAACATCATTTTATTCTATTTGATTCTTCAAAAAATCGTTATAATACTATGTATTAGACTTAAAATATTCGATATCTAAACCAGAAAGTGTTAGCTAGAAATAGACTTATTTATAGAACAACTCCCCATTTCTCACTTCAGGGAAAGTTATAAAACAGTTGGGTGCTAATGACTTTGTGAAAGGGAAAAGTTCTACACTTAGAAACTTGGAAAGAAGGGATTTGGCCTGTACCGTCGGGCGGGCCGCATAAACATTGATAAGGGGCCGTAGGTTGTGCACCCCTGCTTTAGTATACCATGTTGTGCCTGAAAAGTATATTTATTCTTTGTTCACCATATACTTAATTATTGCTTCCTATTTCATTAAAGATGATCAAATTAAAGATAGGAAATCCAGTTTCTAGAATTATCAGAACTATTCTAGTAGAACAACTCTTTGAAACTGCTATAGTTGAAATTGCCTAGTCTGACTAGGAGATTCCTAGAAACTTGGCAGTTCTAGATATAGAATTGATGAATAGAAAACATTATTCTTTTTACATGGAAACAGAATAACATAAACACAAAATCACATTACTTTCAAGTGTAGTAATAAATAAATTATTATTTTTGATTGATAGTTTGCAATTTGTGTGCGCCATAATTGAGCCATTCACAAGCCAATGTATATTATCAATTTTTATAATTTTTGTTTTACGGAGTTAATCAGTTTGGCAAGTGAGCGGCTCAATTATAAATCTATATATATAAAATAGAACATTTGCATATTTGTCTGTACTTTATACATTTTCAAACTTTTTGACTGCTGCATCAATTTTTCATACTTACTGTGTAGGACTCTGAAAAATATATACTGCCATGAAACCTGGACATTCCACCCCTGATTTAATCCCCTTGACATTCTGTGATTAACATAACAATGGTAGGCTAAAATAACGAAACTTTTAATATGATTTTCATTTTAATGTTTGTTCGTTTTACTTTTTGCCCAGGCAGTGATGGACATACCTGCTAGTCAAAAATAAAAACAAATAATTATGAACTGTAATAAAAAATAGGAATTTTTCAAATACTTTTATAAATTTAAATTACTCAAAACTAATTTCTTTATTCCTAAAAACTCTGGAAACATTTTCATTCAGTTCAAGCTAAAATTCAGATAAGTGTTCCTATTTCCAGAAAAAAATGAAGCAAATCTTCAATGCAGTTTGTTGGAGATTAAATTTATATTTTTTGAGTGTAAAGAAGTGATAAATGATGTATAATGAAATAAGTGATAAAAAATGAGAATAAACAATAAAAAAATTTAATACAGTAGACCCCCCTATAACGCGGGTTCCTATAACGGAGATTCCTATAACGTGGCAAAAAAATTGCGACAGTATTCGTATAAAGACGCTAAAAGGGACTCGTAAAATGTCATCACCGACTCGTGTCGTGACAGGATTGGTCAAATCTGAACCAATAGTGGATGAGCAGCCGAACTACTTTCCGCCATCCAGTGCCACGCTATGGGGAGTTTAGGCGGGTAAGTTGAGTTTACCTTCGTCTGTACAGTATGTAAATTAGGTACTGTAAGTCTAATACAGTACTGTAATTTTATACATTTCTTGTGAAAGAAATGGACATTAACAGTATTCTTATTCAACGGCCATTAACATTATTTATATTAATGATGTCTCCAAAGTTCAATGAATTTTTCGCAGAAAAATAACTTATCAGAAATTGCGGCTGCCATTTGGTGTGCTGCTCCGCGACAAAAACAAGCTTAAGCAATGGAAACGTCAAATGGTGCACACTCAGTAAGTAATCCTACAATTTTTTGTTTATAGCATAGTTTATACGGATTATTCCCCAAAAATTATACGTGTTTTGGAAATTTTGAGTCGAATTAGTCTAGAATCGGTTAATTTTATAGAAGAAAACCTTTCAAACAGCCGTAGTCCGTAAACTTCATACGTGTCGGGCTGCGATTGGCTCATGTATTTAAGGATTCCTACAAGGTGAAATTTGTATAACGTGGAACGTATCTACACGTTATGGGGGGTCTACTGTACTTGTGCTTTATGTTCAATATGATCAATTAAAAACACTTATATTTCATGTCATATTTACATACGCTTGGCAGAAAGCTGGTTACACTATTAAAGATCAGATGGACAGCTTTAAAAATGTAAATGTGATAATGTTCTCTGTATCATATGAAAACTGCAATTACAAAGGACAAAATCAAAAGTGTCTGTCTTTGTTAAATGGATACATTGAAAAAGAAAAACAAATCTCCTACACATCATGAAGCCTCATGATACTTTGTCCCAATAGTTACATACCACTACACACAGTGTAGTGGTATGTAACAATTGGGACAAAGTATCTTGGGGCTTGTATGTAACAATGGATTTAAAAACTGTGTTTGTATGATGTGAAGTATGGTTTTTTACAATGTTGGGATCCAGCTCCTCTAAAAACATAGTATACATTTTATTCAAAGTCAAGACGCTATGAAGCTATTTCTGAGCACTGTCTTTTCAGCAGTAATGTGACTCCACTCTTTGGAATCAATTACGATCTTCAATCAGCTTTCAATTAGCCTGCATTGAGGATCACCTGAATGCAGCTGCAACACATCTATCACCACAAAGATCTCTTTGGATCATACTGATAGTTTCAATTTTTTCAAGTACTGTTTTGATTTTCTCACTGATACTTAATGTGTTCATGAATAATTACAACAAACTTTGACTGTGTTTCCTTCCAATGGAAGGAAAAAGTTGCCATATTTTGATGATGTGATTCTGCTTTACCTGTTGTACATGCTTTCATTGGCATCTGCTTAACATGCTGTTCAATAAATTCTCTTTGAAGTTACAAGTCACATAATTGGTAGAACACTTTGAATATGGTCTATCTATATACCTCACTAAACTTGGCACACTGCCTTCCACCTTTTTTACACCACTCAGTTTTGTACATTGGACCTAATACTTGGCCTTTCACAATTTTCTTTGTATTTACTGAAAAATATTCTGCATCACTGCACCATAATGCCTGAGCAAGTTTCTTTTTGTTTATTCTTGTAATTTTTCAATGGTCATATACCCTTGGAGCACCTTCTACTTCAAATTCTTCAGGCTTTTTCTTCTTTTTGTTTACAGGTTTCTTACTCTGTTGATTTTTATGCAAGTTTGTTTTTGGCTTATCACTATAATCATCGCTGATCCAATGCGTGTCATACAAAGACAAATCCTCCATAGAATGTGCTTAGCACAAAAGAATCGAGCACCAAAAACACGAACTAAAAAAACCTCTTTTTTGCAGTGAGGAACTTTGCATGCCTGGACATAGGTAGGATCTTCTTGGTCACTGAGTTCAATATTGGAAAAGGATGCTGTTCATTTAAATCATCTTCCGGAGAAGATAATGTTGTCAGCTCTGGTATCATCTCCTGTTTGGTGTGACTTTGAGATATGGCAATACCTGTTGTTATTATAAGGATTCACAATATTTGTAAATTCTGTTAATATGGGTATTAATTTTTCAATAAGTTTAATATATTTATATTAAACATTGTGGTTGTGTGACTGGAAAACAAGGCAGTTAGTGTTTGACCTTGAAACCTTTTCCTCTGGTTGAATGTCATTTCACCGAATCAGGATATACAAAAATAGAATTCCACATAATCTCCGTATAATTTTGCGTCAAAGAGGCATAAGTCTAGATAAGCCTTTAAAATCATTTAAAAACATAGTGTTAATGGTGTCTCTTGAGAAACATTTGAGTCATAATATTTTTATCAGATATTTGAGAAAAGCCTGGTGTTTATCATTCCATAGAATGCAAATGGTGTTATATAGAGATAAGTTGCTCTATCACAACACAAAAGACCCAGGCTTATATTTAAAGGTGGAACTCATTTTGGCCAAATTATGAGATATGCCTTTAAGTATTTTCACTGATGATATAACTAATAGCCTGCAAATCTTTGATCCAATCAGTTAGTCATATCTGAAAACGTTTCATTGTAAGAAGGTAAAAAAATTGTTTATAGTTCTCTTCATGCATCAATTAACTTCAAATTATTTTGTTGTTTCAAAATGATTACATCATTGAAATGAATTTTTTCATTTTTCTTTATTATTACAGTCATCAATTGTAATCTTTTAAAATAATTTGTTAATTTTATAAGCATATGTAAATAAGTTTTTGCATAAAGAGTCATCAAATACAAATGTGTATGTATTTAAACTAAAATATTGATACAAAGAGTTTTTTTTCTATAGATGATGAAAAGTAAAAATTTAAATTTGATTGTTATGGATATTTGATTGAAATTTCTAGTTTCTGTTTAAAGTTGAAATCATAATATATCACAATTTTATATGTATTTGTGTAATATAGAAATTTTTTTAATATTATCAAAACATGACTTTAATTATTACTAAAGGAAAAGATTAACTGAATATATTCAGTGTGTTAATTACTAATGATAGCTGTAATATTTGAAAATATCACATAGTTTGTTTGACTGACTTATAATTTTCAAATTTTAAAATATATTTTGTAACATTTCTGTTAGTATTCTTAACCAATATTTACATTAATAAATATAACACTACTTTTCTTTAGGAGGAAACGAAAGAAAAGCTGCCTGAAGAAACTGAAAAGGAGGAGGGAGAAGTAGAACAGACATCAGAAAACAAACAAATCAAGGCCAAAAGAAAAAATAAATCAAAGAAATCTTCAAAAGTGAAAAAATCAGTTAAAGTATGATATTATTATTATTAATTTTACAGGGTGATTCACTTGATACTGAATATCATTTATTTGCCCAATACCTTATGATTGCAGTCACATTTGAATAACATGTAATATAAAAAATACCTTAGTGGATTGCTGTGTCATAAAGTAATCATTTCATTTCTGTTTCATGGCAATCTTTTCATTTTACAGTAAATGAAGATGTTCCACATAATAAGTGTTCGTTCCTGAGTGAATCACCCTATACCAGGGGTCGGCAACCTGCGGCTCGCGAGCCACATGCGGCTCTTTGGATGTGAAGCTGCGGCTCTTTAGTTCCATATGCAAATATTTATTTTATAAAAAAAAAGCATTTAAAAATTGTTCTGAATTGATTAACGAGGATTAGGCACCGATTCTATCTCTCAGCCACTTGTATTCGCTTTTCACCGCACCCCTCCCCCGTGACACGCGTCATCACTGTCGTCAGTCCGTTGGAAGCTCTCGAATGACGTCGTTGTCGGATGTTTCTATTATCTAATTTGTTGTGAAAAACACTACTTATATATGAATAAATAGATATTTTTTCTTATGAATAAATAGATTAGTTTTTTTATCAAAAAACTTTATTTATGCGAGTACTATTTATTGTTGGCAAGAAAAAATTTTGTGGTTCTTTAAAAACTTTGAAATTTTGTAAATTGTAGTTTTGGCTCTTCCGACTCAAAAGGTTGCCGACCCCTGCCCTATACTATTTACCATTAATGTACTTTACACATCATAAAGACTTTACCCTATAAAATTTAATTGGAATTATCAGATATTGTAGTAACAGAAATGGATATGTAACAAAATTGAACATAATTTGATAATTTAATAAAACAAATTTGTCATATGTAAAATAATTAAAAATTTAATGTTTTACATTTTGGATATTATACAAAATTATTAATTTTATATCTTACAGTTTGTTAGTTGTCTTATTTATTCTAATTTATGTAAAAAAAGGTAAATTTAGATTATATCAAACAATAATTTTGAGTTTATTAATAAAAAATTTTCTAAATTTAATTTGTCTGTCTATATGATGTGTTTATCTGCAAGACTCTTGAGTTAAAGCTAAAAAACATTAGTTTTTTAAGTTAAAACAGTTAGTTTTAAACATACAAAGACTTTGATGCAATTTCTTTTATAAGAAGTTCTAAATATAAAAAAAAAAATGTAATAATGCTCTAGTCTTATTTGAACCAGAACATTTTTTTTTTTAGTAGTCCAAATAAACAGCATTGGTATGTAGATAGAAATGGTACAAATAATACCTTTGCTGGTATATGAACTTTAAAAAGATAACAAATTATAAATAGTGTTATTCATAAGTCAGAACAAATTTCAGAAATTTTTTTCAACAACTATAAGATACATTACAACATGATATGCACCAATGGAATACTACTGAAATTATGTTTGCATACCTTATAGGTACTCAATATGTGCCACACATTGGGAGGCACAGTACACATCAAGCTGATAGTCTAGTTCAATGTTTTTCAACCTGTGGGTCGTGACCCCCAGGGGGTCGCAAAGCCATACATGAGGGGTTGTGGGTAAAATAAAAAGACGTGTTTTTGGTAGGTCCTGCACTACAATAAAAAAATACAATTTCAATGAGAAGGCTGTGCCTATTTATTTTACAGTACAATTGGTTTTTTGATCAATATTTAAATCTCAACAGAAAGAAAATTAAATACGTAGTTTTTAAAATCACTGACATAGTTTTAATATGGCCGTGGGGGGTTGCCAGAATTTTTTAACTTGTAAAGGGGTCGTGTATTCAAGAAGGTTGAAAAACACTGATCTAGTTTAGATCATTCCTGGTTTAACATTTTACTGTTGTCCAGTCCAATGGTAGCAGTAATTCATGCTCTGAGACCGATCATGTCAGTAGGCAATGAGGGGTCAAACATCCAGGTCTTCATAAACCCCCAAAGAATGTCACAAGGTATTAGATTGGGAGAGTGTGGTGGCTAATGCAGCAAGGTCATGTCATTGGCACTTGTCCATCTAATTCAATGCTTTGATAAGTTCTGGTTTAGATAACTCTGAACAAGTTGGTGGAAATGGGATGGAATGCTATCCTGCTGGAAAATGAAGTCCTCTCTGTCTTAGCTACTGTTCTCAACATNATAACAGACGGCGCCATACGCTGTTTTAAATTTTGCCGAGAAAGTTAAGCAACTGGCTGCTGGATTTTTTCATAGATGCAATATAATTCTTTCAGATATATATCCACCAAATCAGTCGTTTTTAAACCTGGATGCAGCGGGAAAGTGTGAAACAGCTTTTCTTAAATTCTGTAAGATAGTCTATGGATGAAATTTTCTGTATTGAACTTCTCAGTTTAAATGAAAAATTATTATATTTTTATCTATTATACATGCCAAACCTAGACTTATATTGATGAATGGACATTAAGCAATTAATAAAGAAAATTCCTCTAACAGTATTTAAAGTAAGGATAAAATACAAGTGCGAGAATGGGTAGATTTTCAATCCTTAAAGAAAACCACGAATTTTTCATTAGAATGTGAGAGCAAATTTAAAAATTCAATGAGTGAGAGCGGCGAAAAAGGTTAAGAACCAATGCTTTAAATAAATGGCTAGAATAAAATTATATTAAATATTTTAAATGCATTTTTTCTAATTTACAGTATTAAATATTAATTTAAATAATCTTCCACCTCGTGTAAGATGCTACGGATAAATCCTAAACACTTATAACTTTATTATTTTAAATTCTTATGCTATGTAATCTAATAATGTTAATATAACCATTTATAAGCGGCGAAACTTCTAAAAATTCAGCTCACAAGATTTTCTTAGCAATATTTCAAGAATAACTTTGCGAAAACGTAAAAAACAAATCGATCCACTTTCAGTCTCGAAAGTAAAATCAGAATCCTGCGAAACTAACTTTATTTTAGATTAGTGTTTTTTATTAAAAATAATAGAAGTTCCAAAAAAAAAAAAAAAAAATGAAAGANTATAATATTCTAACACCAAAGATCTTAATGCATTTTTAAAAAGTTTGAATATTATTTATCTAAAATTATATTAGAGAACATATGCATTAAATTATCCTTCACTAACTTAAACATTTATGTAGAAGAATGTAATTACAATTAAAAAATAAAAACTGTTTCATATTAGTTGCCATCCATTTACTCTAGCTTTATGACATCTTTTTAATTACAGGTAGATACTGGTTTTCCATTATTAGAAGATCCATCTCTTCCAGATGGTTGGACTAGGAAGGTAGTGCAAAGAAGAACAGGAAAATCTGCTGGAAAATATGATGTGTATATTTTTAGGTAGGTATATTTTTCTAAAGATTTATGCTAATCTTTTTGTTTTATTTTTTGAACAAAATTAAATGTATCTATTACTATTATCAAAGTAAAAAAAAAAAAAAACAAATGAAAGTTCCTGTCTGATTTAGATATTCCCTACAAATGTCGTAAATATTTGCGTGTAATGGTATTAAAAATTAAATCAATTCCATTTATTTTTTGAACAAAATTAAATGTATCTATTACTATTATCAAAGTAAAAAAAAAAAAAAACAAATGAAAGAGAAAACTACGTCTGAGATCGTTGACCGAATAATACAATTTTGTGATTTTCTTATAAATGAAATTGAATGTAAAAGAATATATAAGACAATTATCGAGCGTTTATTTCGCTGAATGTGATGGTGGAAATCAAATAGTTTAAATGTAGCAGAAGTTTAAAATCTCTCCATAATTCAATTACATTTAATAATTGTAAAAATATTAATAATGCATTTTGCAAATATAAAGATTAAACAATTATTCCAAGAAATAAAATGCATTTTTTTTGTATNTCATATTTTTGAACAGAATGAACTCAAAATACAAATGTGTTATCTACAATACCATTACTCATGATAGATATACATATATATATTTGTAAATAGTATTACAATTTTGTATTTTATGTTTCTACTTTGTAAAAAGTTATTTTATGATGACAACACATTTACAGTAACTCCCTTCAGGTATGTGCAGGCCCAGAGGATAGCATTAGGTAGTCTGAGAAAAGACAAAGAAATTAAAATCTTAACCTTGAATCAGAGCAGAAGAAGAGAAGATAAAATACAATATAATAAAAGATTAGTATTAGCCATTTAAGAAGAAAAGGAAGCCTGCAAATAAGTAATTAAGAAAGAACTGACTCATCACAATTACAAGATTCTATTTTAGAGGATGATTGAAATGTTCTTTAATTAATAATTGCTTTTTAATAGTTTTTTAATGGGAGTTTGATATCAAATTTCATTCATTGTTCTAAAGTTGTAGTGCACGGATTTTCCTTCAGTAAAGTTATTTAAAGCTAGTTTTTGATGTCAAAAACGACCTCCGATAGTTTTTAATTTTTTTAATTAATAGATTTTATTATATATAAGTTTAATTAAGTCGGGGGGTCAGAAATTACAATAAAAATTTTAATTTTTAAAAAATATTTAAAAATATAGGTCTAGTTAGTATTCACCCTACTTTAAACCTTTCTCCTCCTGAGACATCTATGAGAATGTCCCTGGAAATAGGACACCAGCTGTTCTCAAGGTCATCCAGCCATGTAAAAATGAGTTGTCAGTGTCAAATTTCACAGAAAGACAAGACAAAGGAAAATAAAATTTGAAGCTTTTTCTTCAAAATTAACGCATTTCTTTCGTTTTTTCAGTTTTAAGTATTTTTTATGTTTAATTACATTAATATCAAAAATGTCTTTGTCTGTAACGGGTTAAAATACAGTAAAGATTTACAGATATTGTTTTTTGAGGAGTTTTTGTTATTAAAAGTTGTTTATTTAACAATATCTAAGATTATATCTGAAGTTGTGAATCTCCATATTCTGCTATCATCATCTATGCATAAAGTGCACAATTGTAAACAATTACACATCACATACATATTTGAAACAGTCCAAAAAAGATTTCTTCAGAACATTGTCTTGTGGGGACAAAAGACATCAACAATTTAATCCTAACAGATGAAGCAGTTTCTTCATTCTTTAAGTTTACATGTGGTAATGCACTAGGAGAACAAGTAATTATCACCCCCAAACAATACCTCTGAATAAAATTAACAATAAAACAAGCAACAACAAGTAACTTAAAAAAGTAGGAAAAAATAGGTGTAACATTAAAGGTAAAAATGTAAAAAATAATCATGTAAAGACAAAAAAATTTTTAAAAATGTACAATTTCTTCTCATAAATACTCTTAAAAGATATGTAATTCAACATTGTCTCAAGAATATGTACAAATAGAAAATTCGTATGCAGCATAGTTCAGTAAACTCAATATTTGTTCAGTAAATACCAATGTTAGACTGCATATAATCTGTGCTGATATTTTGTTTAACAAATGTTGCTTCATTAGAGCTAGTGCACATTTTATGTTCAGTAATGTAGCTAATGGATTTTTTTCCACCATAGTTCAATGTGCACTTAAAAACAGGTTTCTCAAACTCAGAACAATGTGTATCTTTTTTGAATTGTACAGTACATATATAGTATGTGTTTGGAAAATAAACATAATTTGCACATATATTATTTTGAACCAGCTAATGTACAGTACATGGTGATGCTCAAGTTATCTTAAAAAAACATCAAACAGGTTTGAAAGCTTGGTTTTTGTTAAATGTTGATATTTGTGATAGTTGATGACTAGATCTACATTGAATAATTGATTCTGTTGTAGCATTAGAAATTTCATTATTGTCCTTTTGATCCTATCTTAATAAAATGAATTTTTTATACTATCTTTGTATAGACTTATTCCATCATACTTTACAGAAGTATTCATGAAAGTTAAAAAATCTCTCAACTGATGAAGAAAGTAATTCTAAGTAGAGCAATCAGCTGTAAAATAATTTAAAATGATATATTTCAAGAGTCATTTAAAGAAACATAGAAAGTAGATGGGAAATAATAATGTGACAATGCCAAAGGGCCTCCCTATACTTCGGCACCATGGGACCGAAGGGTCAACATTGCGTTGGCGAAGATCGCAATGACAAGGTCCGTTAGGACTGACACCACGGTGTCTTTACAGACAAACACAGAAACCGTTGTGTTCGCACGAACGATCTTGTGTGTGAGAGAATGGATTCGGGATGGAGGGAGAGACAGTGCACCGAAAGTGACTTACGCAGAGACAGGTTAACGTAACAACTATTTAATGGGTAATTATAGGCCATACAGGACATATAATATATCGATCTTAACAATACTAGATTTTATATTCATGGGGTTTGAGGTTATTAGATATATATACGATTTTAACATTAATGTTCCACAGTTCCTGAGAGAGAGAGTTTACAATAAATACGCGTGGCGATAAATACCTTTTATGATATCTTGATTGAGATTCTCGACTTGGGGTTGAGATTAGGATCTTGAGAGTGAGGATTTAGATCGTTGGACTGGTCTGGATCAAGAAAGTTCCTCTAAGCACAGTGGAAAGTAATGGGAAAAATCTGACAGAGTACTGATTGAGCACAGAAATTGCCACTGACACACACAAAAATTTTGATGACTTTAATCCGAGAGTGAAGGGCGACGACTGCATCACTTTGTTGTTCTGTTCTAATGTTGTACTGTTGAAATCGAGATATTAGGTTGAAAGGTGATGAGAAAGCATTGTTACCAGGCCTGAGAACTTAACAGATATTTTGCTCCCAGGTGTAAAAGTTGACAGTTATTTAACGAAAGTATAACTACGATGTGATATTAGGAGATAATGATATAAACATACTGCAAGTCTGGATTCGGATCCTCACAATAAGATTTTTTAAAGACATTTAAAAAATCTTATTGTGAGGATCCGAATCCAGATTTCAAGTATCATTAAAATCTTTCAAGACATTTATTCCTCATTAGGATGTAAGAACCCTAAATTATATATTTTGTTAGTGCTATGTGAAGAAAGAAAAAAATGTGCACAAAAATGTAAATGAAAATGTACACAAATGTAAATGAGTGTGAGGTGCAGTACAGTCTCATAAGGAACTCTTTACCCTGCCCCGCCTATTGGCACCACAGGGTTTAAAGAGACTATGCCTTGTTCATCGACTGGTCGGTACCTGACTCGGTAGACAGGGACGTCATAGTTGGGCCCTATGATGCATCATTCGGACTCCCGTCCGCACCCCGGCCCAACTCACTAACTTGGCATAACTTTTGTTTGTGCAGCCTGTACTGCACTATTGGTCCACATAACTAAACCTTTAATAGCTCACACAATAATGTAGGAAACACAGACAGAACCTACATGTAGTAGGTATACGGACAGCGGGGCCCTGACTCCAGNAATATATTAATTAAACCAACTTCTAATGATATATTAATGTTTTCTACATCATTACTCGTGTTATAGTTTGTATGATAGAAGCAAACATATAAAAAGATTTTCGACTTTTATGATTCGAATTGGAAAAACATTAAAATAACATTTAGAACTAAATAATCATTTACTTCCAGTCTTGTAAAATAAATGCATCGATTTTCATATAATAGAATATTAGTACGGTTTATGAATAGAATAGCAAATATCAGACGTGACTTTACCGATTTTATGTATTATGTAATTCATTTTGACATGTTTATTAGATTTTGGGATATAAACTTTTAAGTAAAAAATTTTTCTCAACAGGATAAACTTCTTAGATAAACGTGCATTGTCTTATTTACCAAGTTAAATTACCATGAATATTTAGAATTGTAATCCTTGTATCGTCTTAATTTTTCTATCAGTTTTTAAATATTAATGAATTAATAACGATGTTAAAAATTTTTATTCGTAATTTTTTTTAAACTTCATTTTTATTATTCTAGACTGGCTTGCTCTTGTTAATGTTTATTACATTTAAGAAAAAAAAAATATTATTTTCCTCGTTATTTTATGCATTTAGATATGATAAAAATCTTTAAAAATTAAAGAAGAAATAATAAATATTATAATTTATTCTGAAACTTAATACGAATTTTATACCAATTTGTATTGATACAACGATATTAAACTCTTAGCACGACATTAATGCATTACNAAAACATCAAACAGGTTTGAAAGCTTGGTTTTTGTTAAATGTTGATATTTGTGATAGTTGATGACTAGATCTACATTGAATAATTGATTCTGTTGTAGCATTAGAAATTTCATTATTGTCCTTTTGATCCTATCTTAATAAAATGAATTTTTTATACTATCTTTGTATAGACTTATTCCATCATACTTTACAGAAGTATTCATGAAAGTTAAAAAATCTCTCAACTGATGAAGAAAGTAATTCTAAGTAGAGCAATCAGCTGTAAAATAATTTAAAATGATATATTTCAAGAGTCATTTAAAGAAACATAGAAAGTAGATGGGAAATAATAATGTGACAATGCCAAAGGGCCTCCCTATACTTCGGCACCATGGGACCGAAGGGTCAACATTGCGTTGGCGAAGATCGCAATGACAAGGTCCGTTAGGACTGACACCACGGTGTCTTTACAGACAAACACAGAAACCGTTGTGTTCGCACGAACGATCTTGTGTGTGAGAGAATGGATTCGGGATGGAGGGAGAGACAGTGCACCGAAAGCGACTTACGCAGAGACAGGTTAACGTAACAACTATTTAATGGGTAATTATAGGCCATACAGGACATATAATATATCGATCTTAACAATACTAGATTTTATATTCATGGGGTTTGAGGTTATTAGATATATATACGATTTTAACATTAATGTTCCACAGTTCCTGAGAGAGAGAGTTTACAATAAATACGCGTGGCGATAAATACCTTTTATGATATCTTGATTGAGATTCTCGACTTGGGGTTGAGATTAGGATCTTGAGAGTGAGGATTTAGATCGTTGGACTGGTCTGGATCAAGAAAGTTCCTCTAAGCACAGTGGAAAGTAATGGGAAAAATCTGACAGAGTACTGATTGAGCACAGAAATTGCCACTGACACACACAAAAATTTTGATGACTTTAATCCGAGAGTGAAGGGCGACGACTGCATCACTTTGTTGTTCTGTTCTAATGTTGTACTGTTGAAATCGAGATATTAGGTTGAAAGGTGATGAGAAAGCATTGTTACCAGGCCTGAGAACTTAACAGATATTTTGCTCCCAGGTGTAAAAGTTGACAGTTATTTAACGAAAGTATAACTACGATGTGATATTAGGAGATAATGATATAAACATACTGCAAGTCTAGATTCGGATCCTCACAATAAGATTTTTTAAAGACATTTAAAAAATCTTATTGTGAGGATCCGAATCCAGATTTCAAGTATCATTAAAATCTTTCAAGACATTTATTCCTCATTAGGATGTAAGAACCCTAAATTATATATTTTGTTAGTGCTATGTGAAGAAAGAAAAAAATGTGCACAAAAATGTAAATGAAAATGTACACAAATGTAAATGAGTGTGAGGTGCAGTACAGTCTCATAAGGAACTCTTTACCCTGCCCCGCCTATTGGCACCACAGGGTTTAAAGAGACTATGCCTTGTTCATCGACTGGTCGGTACCTGACGCGGTAGACAGGGACGTCATAGTTGGGCCCTATGATGCATCATTCGGACTCCCGTCCGCACCCCGGCCCAACTCACTAACTTGGCATAACTTTTGTTTGTGCAGCCTGTACTGCACAATTGGTCCACATAACTAAACCTTTAATAGCTCACACAATAATGTAGGAAACACAGACAGAACCTACATGTAGTAGGTATACGGACAGCGGGGCCCTGACTCCAGGTGGAGGGGGCCCAAGTAAGCCAACTATAGCTTATAGATCAATAAGATCTATGATTTCTCCCATTAATTCTTTTAGTTTCTTTAGGTTCCCTTTACTAGCTGCTAGCGTTCGAAGTACTTGTTCAGGGGGCTTGGACCAGTCAACTTGGTCTGCCCCTAGGCGGAAGTCCCTTGTTAGGGGACAGTCAAGTACATAATGCCTCGCGTCGCCGCGAGGACTACCACAGGGGCAACTACCATCTCCTTGTCCAAATTTGGACTTGAAGTGGGGGAACCTCCCGTGGCCAGT